GCCCCCGCCTCCTCGAGCCGCCGCTGACGCGTCGTTGTGCTTGAACTTTCGAGCGTTGTCTTGATAGACACGAAAAGTCGCAGCCGGCATCGTCTCCACATCCTCCGGGGCTACCGTAACCGCCTGGTGCGGACGGGCATTGTAGGCCTCCGCTGCTTCGTCCACGTGGTCGCCCCAACCACCGCCGTCCCGGGCCACCTTCCCCGCTAAATCCTTCTTTAGCGTTTGAGTCGCCCGGTCCACCACCGCCGTCGCATTCCGATCTGTCGGGTCCTTCTGCCGGTGCACCACGCCCCCCGGCAGTGCCGCCTCGAGGCCTCGAAATTCGTTACCCAGGTCGGTGGTAATGGCATAATTCGATTCGTCCTGGACCAGCTCGGGGATGATCTCCGCCGCTGCTCGTGTCACCGTCTGGGCGGACTTGTCGGGAAGGGCCTTCGTGGCCACCTCCCGAGTGAACACATCCGCGACCACCAGGCCAAACTTGTTCGTCCCCCGCGTGTTTTGGGAGAAATCGATGAGGTCCGCCTGGAGCCGCTTGTCGGGCCCCTCGGCCACGCTCTTCCCCAGGCTCCTGGGCTTGGGCGCCAGGATCTGCCTGGCCACGTCGCTGCGCAGGGCCGCCGCGGCCCGCGCCGAGGTGAGGTCCCGCCGACCGGGAAACTCCGCCGGGCGATTTGGTAGAGCTTCCGGGGGGTCCCGGACGTTGAAATCCCGGGCCAGCTGCTGGAAGAGCCCGATGGCCTCCTCCTCCGCCATTTCCTTAGTCCGAGTCGCCCTTGCGACCCTTCTTCTTCTCCAGGGCCTCCACTCTCCTTTGGAGCTTCTTCACCACGCCCCACAGGACCACGGAGAGCTTCTGATAGTCCAGGGCCATCAGCTCCCGGCCGTCCAAGTTCTTCGTTTTGCACATCGTCGCCCCCAGCTTCCCGCTGGCCTGCACGTCCTGGGCCACGAAGCCGATCTGCTCCCTGCCGCCGTCGATGCGGTCGTAGAGCTGCGGCTCCACCGCGTCGAAGGTCTGCTGCAGCTCCTCCTCCGGGATGGCCCGGACGTTCTCCTTGAGCGCCCGGTCGCGCAGGTTCACGAAGCCGTAGCCGAAGATCACCTCGCCG